CCTTGCTAACCAATCCCGCTTCTCCATTTAGACCACCCCGGAGGTGTCCTAGCACCCCCTTCCCCCCCACTGAGTCACCCCGCCCCCAGCTTCCTCTGCTGAGAGGCTTTGCCATCTGTCTCCTTGCCTGGCTTTTCCTCTGCTGGGGATCCAGGGCTGGCCCAGAGCTGAACCCCGCCCCCCAAGCTGTTTCCACCACTGGCTTCCTGTATCCCCTCACATTTGACCTTTGGCCTCTGTCCCTTCAGGGCCCAGGCGCTGTGCTTCCTGTAAGACCCAGAGGACCCCGCTCTGGAGAGATGCCGAGGATGGGACCCCTCTCTGCAATGCCTGTGGTATCAGGTCCTCAGATTGGAGGCGGGAGGTCCCCACCCCCACCCCCCACCTCCTACTTAGCCAGCATGAGACAGCGGGAAGGGAAACACCCACCTCTAGGTGAAAAGTGGCTTCCTCGTGGTGGTTTCTGGGGCCCCGCTGCATCCTGAATGGTAGTTTCTTGTTCCCATCCTCCCCCTCAGGTACAAGAAGTATGGTACCCGGTGCTTCACCTGCTGGTTGGTGCCCAGGAAGAGTGTGCAGCCCAAGAGGCTCTGTGGAAGATGTGGGGTGTCCTTGGGCTCCCACCAAGGCCCACCTCAGGGAGGGTGAGACCTTGTCCACCCGGCCCAGCTTCTATTTCTGCTTCCCCGGGAGGGGCAGGGAAAGCGCCTGGGTGTCCTGAGGGCCGTTTCTAAAATGGAGAGGGGACAAGGACCGGGCAACAGTTCTGATCGGCTGGCTTCCTCTCTGCTCCTCCAGACCCAGGAAGCCTAAATGGAAGATTCTGGCCCCAGGCCCCAGAACCCCTCAGGGAGAAGAAAGGACGGAGGCCTCTGTCCCCGGGGAACGTGAAACCCCTCCTCAATCCCTGCTCCAATCATTGTGGGCTGAACCCCACCTCCAGAAATGCTCGAAGTAGCAGCAATGGTTGCTGGAACAATAGTGACAATAAAGAGTTAAGCATCTCTGAGAGGAAGGGCAGTCTGATTTGGGCACCCCACCTGGGTCCCCCACCTTCCTGTTCTCCAGCCCAGGCACACAGGGCAGGTGTGTGCTCCCTGGGGCTCTGCGAGAGGGGCCCAAGTAGTCACTAACAGGCAGCTTGACCACAAAGTCGAGTCCAGGGAAACGGCTTGCCCACCAGCCACGTGCACGGTGTACAGACACACACGCACTTGAGCTGCAAGCACTGGCCAAAGGGGAGACTGACAGAGACAGACAATTGAGTCAGTCCATGTGCCCACAGAGTGTCCCCTGCACGGCAGGCCAGGCCAGTCCTACCAGACCTTTCTTATGTATCAACAACCCCCACTCCCACCCCACCGAAGCCAGGTCCTAAAGCAGTGGTGGGAAAGGCTTGTGGAGAAAGGCCTGAGGCCCAGACCCCCTCAGCCCAAGCAAGGATTCCTGACTCGGTCCCTCCCTTTCTCCTCAGACCGCCTGATGACTGCCACCACTCATCACTTGCTGAGGCTCAGCTTCACTGTGGCCTCCTCCGAGAAGCCTCCCTGGACCACCCAGTCCATAGCCCCACCCTCAGCTCCGTTCCATCTCTATCGCAGCCCCTTTTGGGCTCCTCCTTGTCAGGGCCCATCCCCATCGAGTCAGTCCCAACCCATAGCAGCCCTGTGTACACTCAAACTAAACACTGCCCGGTCAGGTGTCATCCTCACAGCTGTTAGGTCTGAGCCCATCTTTGCAGCCGCTGTGTCCGTCCATCTAGTTGAGGGGTCTTTTGGCGGTGGTGGTCTTTTGGTGTTTTTTTGGCTCTCTCCCAAGCGTGCCGTCCTTCTCCAAGGACTTGTCCCTTCTGATGACATGCCCGAAGTCTCACCACCCTGGCTTCTGAGGAACTAAATTTTCCAACACAGACTTGCCCGTTCTCCCGGCAGGCCCGGGTACAGTTAACATTCTGCACTCACCCCAGAACCCAGGTGCATCCATTTTCCTCGGGTCCCCCTTGTCCGGCTGCCCCATGCATGGGAGGGGATTGAAAAATACCGTGGCTTGGGTCAGCGGCACTTTGGTCTTTGAAGCGACACCTTCACGCTCTCCAAAACACCTTAAAAAGATCGGCGGCGGTGGCAGCAGATTTGCCCGATGCAACACGCTGGTGGGTTTCCTTCCGGGAAAAGACATGAGAGTCTGGGGTCGGTGCGCTCTGGTCCAGGGTTATGACGTTTACATGCAACTCCCCCTCTGGACTCTGACTCTCTGTGAGCTACAGTCCCACCTCCGCTGTGCCCTTGCCCATCACACCCACCGCTAGACTTCATCTCCAACTCATGGTGACTGTATAGGCCAGAGCAGAACTGCCCCTTAGGGTTTCCAAGGCTTAGTGGGATAGTCAAGGGTCAACGAACTACAAGGTCAGTAGTTCCATTCCTCCAGGTGCTCAGCCACAGGAAGAAAAGATTTCCAACTTCAGAAACCCTGCTCTACTCCTCTGTCACCCAGGGGGTTAGGGATCAGTGGAGATTTGCTCTGGGGACTCTGGAAGCAAACTCCCACATCTTGCTCCCAAGGAGCAGCTGGTGGGTTCAACTCATCAACCTTTTGGTTAGCAGCCAAGCGTATCATCCCCCCTCCCTGCCACCAAGGCTCCTGTCTGAGCATCACAGGCCTTCCCAGGGGCTGGCATGGAGAGGTCTTTCAGGGATACACATGCAAGTCCCAAGACTGTCTGCTAACGGTGTTGGCTAACTCTTGGCTGTTTGTATCCGTTCATCCAGCCTTTAGGAGCCAACAGCCCTAGTGGTCCAACAGTTAAGTGCTCAGCTGCTCCACACCTGGACATGGGCAGGTGTTTATGGCCACGCTGATTTCCCGAGTGATGTATCAGGCTTGGCTGGTGGCATTGTGGATATGCGTTGGGCTGCTCCCCCAAAGATCTAGCAGTTCAAATCCACCAGCCCACCTCTCAAGAGGAAGACATGGCTCTCGACTCCCCGTGAAGATTTAGTCTTGGAAACTCAGGCAGTCAGTGTGACCTTGCCCTATAGGGTCAACACGGGTCCGGTTCGGCCCAGTGACAGTGAGTCTGTTTCTTGTGTGTGTGTGTGCTGTGGTGCAGCATGAGAAGCCAAGAGAACCTTAAGACATGTGCATTCAAACCCACCTGCATCTCTATGAAAGACAGAGAATGCAATTCACTTCCATAGAGATTGAACGGCCCGGAAAACCCCATCCCACGAGGCAGTGCTGTCCCCTACAGGATCCCCGTGAGTTGGAATCGATGGCAGTACGTTTGGTGTGAGTTGATTCAACATTGATGGAGCAACTCCTGTCGCCAGGGCTCCCACAGAGAGCCTCGGCAGTGCATAGAACAAAGCTTCCCCCCACTCTAGTGGGGCTGATGCCATAGGCTGACAACGAAGAGCGGTTCCACTGTACATCTACTGGAATTCCGTGTAGTGGCCCACGTTACACGGAGAACAACAAAGCCTGGGGGCGGGGGTGGGGCGGGGGATGGGGGAATCCGGAAGGCCCTCGGAGGAAGTGACCTCCGTGGTAAAGACCTCAAGGGCAGCCATGGGACCGAGGTGCAAAGAGCAGTCCTGCAAAGAGAGGACCCTGCATGGACAATGGCCAGAGGCAGGCCGGACTTGATTGGGTCAAGGAATGGGGAGGATGCCAGGGGTGGTGCTAGAGTGAAACGTGGGGACCTGTGAGGCTCGGGGCTGCAGACTGTACCTCACCCAGCCTCACCGCCTTCTGGACCAGACCCCAGTGGTGCCTCTGGCAACCTGTGTCCTGTTAAGTTGGGGTTTAAGTGAAGGGATGGGAGCTGGCCCGGCTGGCTTCCTCTGCAGGCCTCTCTGTTCCTGTTTTTGAGGGAGGAAGCAAGCTGGGGCAGGGGAGGGAGTGGGCCCAGCTGCTGTCTCCTTATGATTTTGAGGGGTATTAGTACGGAGAATGGGGGTGTGCAGCAGAGTTAAGATGGGCCAAGTAGAGAGACCAGTTAGGTAAACCGAGGCACAATAGCTGGGCGCAGGATGGAGGTATCCTGTGCAGTGTGGGTCCTGGGTACAGGCCTGAATAAAAAGAACATCCCAGGGTGCACACCCAGCCCTGCAGCCACTGCCAACATCTACCATCCTGGCAAGCAATTTGGGCTCCACCCATCCTGGCAAGGTGGCCTCAGCTCTGCCCATAAAGGTTCTGTGGAGAAGCCCCTGACGGAGCCCTCCCCCCACCGCCAGGAGTGAGTCCCACTGGCAGGCGCTAATGAACTGAAGGAAGAGATAAGCGCCCATGAGGCAGAGGAAGGAGTTAGCCCCCACCCTTGCTCATAGGTCCCTGAGAGCAGGAAACGGGCACCAGAGGTCAAGCAGCAGGTTCCAGGTCACACCAGGAAAGTCCAGCCTTTAAAAAAAAGAGGGAGGGGGGAGAGGGACCAGACTTCAACCTGAAGCAGGGAACCAGTAGAGAGGTCTGAGGGGCAGCCCCAATCCCAACTACCTGGACAGCCACCCCTCCCCCCAGAGGAATTCTCTTCAGAGGACAGCACGGAAACTACAGCTCAGGGAGAGGGACATGTCTGATCAGAGCACACAGGAGCAAATGAAGGGGAAGGAAGAGAGAGTGGAGCACATCCTGGCCCACCAAGCCTTGAGGACGATATCCCTGCTCAGAGCAGCCAATGCACAGAGAGGACCATAGGGCCGGCCCCACTATGAGGACAAGACGCCCCTCACTGACCCATACCCCTACAGGGGACAACACTGGAGACACAGTGTGGGAATTGCACCCCATCTGATCCCACCACACCGAGAGCAAAACACTAAGGGTGTGCAACAGAACAGCAAGGGGAGCAGAGCAAGGAAATCCCGAAGCAATACCAAAAATAGACTGAGGCCAGGGTGTGGCACCCCATCAGACTCAACTGGAAAACACTCCTAAAGGTCAACAAACAGACCTTGAACTATTTACAGGGTTGGGTTATTTTGTCATTGTTTTTTTTGTTTTATTGCTTGTTTTGTTCTGTCTTGTTTTTTGTGCATATTATTATCACTTTGGGTCTATCTATATAAGATAGGCAGGATAAACAATCTAGAAGAGAAAACAACGGGACCCACGGTTCCAGGGGGACATGGGAGAGGGGGAGTTGGAGAAAGGAAGTGGTGTTAACAAACCCAGGGACAGGGGAACAACAGGTGATCCAAAATCGGTGTCAAGGAGGGTTTAAGAGGCCTGGTAGGGCTTGATCCAAGGCAATGTAGTGGAGGGGAATTACTGAAACCCAAATGAAGGCTGAGCATGATAGTGGGACAAGAGGAAAGTAAAAGGAAATAGAG